ACATCACCTACGAGAGCCACACACAGAGCCGACTGCGCAGGGAGGAGCCAGCCCATGCGGGGATCCACGTACCGAACACGAAGTTGTCTTTGACGTATTTCTCAGCGTCGGCGATTGCCGCCTGGATGTTCTCTGCATTCTCGTTGCACCTCCCGGCCACGATTGCCGCATCGGCACCCTCAGAACATGTGGAGACGTCTCTGCACACGCAAACAGACATAGCAGAACAGACAAGACACGACAGACCGTCAGCCACTGAGGCTGCAAGGCGATGTCTGTGATGCATGACCTCGCGAGCACCTTGAGGGGGGTCGTGTCGCTCGCCAAATCTTCCGAGAAGACGAGACCTTCAACCAGAGACCGACCGTCATGTCATGCATGTGTGCACTTTCGCCGACGGACGTCTATCACTTACGATTGAGATTCAGGCCCCCTGTGAAATCGAGGCTGTCCTTCGTCTTGACATTAGTGTACAGGAACACGCCCCGGGCATCCATCCCTCGAACCCTGATTGTTTGCTATCTGCATGTCACACAACAGGAGAAGAGACAGCCACCGGATGACTGTTGAGCGGCCGACCCAACCACGGCCGTCTTTGTCATGTGATACCCACCAAATCGGCGGCGATTCCCGCATTGAACTGCACGCAGCACAGCAGCACACACGGAGAAGTTTCTCTGTGTCTTTCACCAGCATTGAGTGTCACGGTGGATGGTGTGTGGGGCAGAGAGGCCAATGATTTTCGGCCGCCTAGTTGAGAAGCTGCGCACCAAGGCTGTGTGGGCAGACAAGTCGTAGAGTCAGGTGATGGGATGGGTGCGTGCCCGTTTGTCTGTTGCATTGGCGCGTAGTGCGAGTTTGCGTGTGCGTGGTGGGCGGCGTCACTAGAAGATGCGCTAGGCGGGCGCCGAGGATGGTGCTGGCATGTTTGTCGCGCGATTGACAGTCGATCGATCGACACAATTCATAACATGAGAGACCATCAGAGTCTGCCTGCCATTGCGCTATGTGTCAATGCATCTCCCCCTCGTCGAGGGGCAGGGGGTGGTCAGGCAGCCTGGAGGGGTGGATAGCTTGATGGATGACTGTCATTGGCTGCACCGCACTACTAACAGTCGCATTATCTTTCTGTTTTTCATCCAGCAACTGGCGGTAGCACAAAGTCCAATTGCATCTCATCTGAGATAAATGGCCGAGGAAGCGCAGTCAGCTCTAGGCCTCGTTTTCCAAAGTGCAGGAGAACATCACTCAGCTGCCATCTGGATTAATTCGAGGCAACTCTTCATGTAATTAGGCTTTCCCTGCTCCAAACTAGCCAGCAGACTCACAGAGAATCGGCCTCAAGACCATTCATTGAG